CTGGTCGACCCTTTGCCTTTAAAAAGTGGGACTAGGACACCTACTTTCCATTTCTCTGGATAGCATGCTTCCTTAAAGGAAGCATTTATAATCATTGTAAGGACTTCATGCAGGTCTGGACATAGGTACTTAAGTAATTCATTTGGCCCTGAGTCTAATCCAGGTGCCTTTCCACATTTGAGGCTCAGGACTGGTGCCAAAATCTCTTCTTTTGTGATGTCTGCATCTAAAAACTCATCTCTTTGCATAGGAGATAGGGGTTGTAATTCCTGGTTCTCTTGATTGTACATAAGATGTCTAAAATGATTCACCCATTCTTCAGGAGATGTTAGAGATTTCACTGGGGACCTCCTTTGCAGTCTATTAATCATTTCCCAGAAACTCCTTACTTCCCCTTTCCCTGCCATGCTTTTCAGCTTCACTACAAAATTTTCCCACCATTCCCTCTTTGCTGCCTTAATTTTATTTTTATAATCTTTCCTGGCCTTCACAAGCATTTTTCTATTCTCATCACATGGGCTATTATTAAACCTATGTAGAGCCTTTTGAGTATCTCTCTTAGCCTGCCTGCACCCCTTATTAAACCATTCCTGATTTGGTCTGGAGTGTGTCTTGATATAAGAGAAACCTAAACATCCAGTCACATGTGCTAAAGAGAAATCTAATAAATTCACTGCATGCATGATTGTTATTTCTGAGGATTTCAGGGCTTCACTGATATAACTCATAAATTCTGAACTTCTTTCTGCAGTCTAGCTTCTTCTACCTGCTTCATCATCTTCTGGTTCCATCTACATTCCCTGAGAGCCCATGCATTCTTTTCCAAGGTTCTCTTTTCATTATTTTCTCTAATTAATTGGAAGGTAGCAATCAGGGGGAAGTGGTTGGAAATAGCAAGGCTACCTATATGAAAATCCCTAGTGTATTGCCATAGTGTAGCATCCACAGCCATATAATCCACTATGCTGGAACCAGCATGTGAGATAAATGTATGTAATGCTAAAATCTTCCCAAATCTACCATTCAGGATCACTCCATTAAAGATATCAATGAAATCTAACCATTCCTTTGCAAGCTGTGTTGGCCTGATCAAGTCCATTGATAACCTTGGCTGTAAATTGATCTCATCCACTTCCACTCCTACTTCCCACAGGGGCCAGGTTTCACAGGCATTTCCAATTCATACATTTAAGTCACCTGTTATAATCCAAAGTGCTCTTGGGTACTGCAACCTAAAAGCTCCCAGATCAGATGCTAATTATGAAAAAAGAGAGAGTCATGATTATTTGATCCTTGTGGGGGGTTGTAACAAGCCCCTATGATAAGTTCAGAAGTTTCAAACCATAGATGACACCACAAAATACCCTTTGCATCACTGGAGGGCTTCAACTTATGCACATCAGCATTTATTCTATTGTGTATTCCTACTAAGATGCCTCCAGATGCTCAACCAGTTTTATTAAGTCAAACAGAAAAGAGAAGAGAGAAGGTCTGATAACCATTTATGACCACTTTATCCTCATCATTCAGCCATGTCTCTGTTAATATGATGACATCACCTCTTGCCAACAATTGAAGAAACCCTGGGTCTCCTATTTTTGACAGGATTCCTTGAACATTCCAACTTATGCAGCACAAATGGGAGGACTCGTAGGGGTGGCCTTGCGATTGGGTGCCTAGCTTGTCCTATCCTTTGGGGGGCCCATTCTCATCTTCTTTATATTTGAAGTGATTCAGATTGGGACGTTTCTTGGGGATGGCTCCTTGAGATGTGTTGCCCCTTGCACATGATCTCATCACTCGTCCTTGTAGGCCTTTATGACCCTTGTGATTTTCCTTCTGGGGGGTTGTCTGATCATCCTCCAGGCATACCTCTTCTTGGGCATTCTCTTATTCTGGATCTTTTTGTTGTGTATGACGTTCTTGATTCTCCTCACTATTTCCCCTATTCCAGGTTGCCTCTTCATGAGGCAGCACCTCTTCAGAATTTCTTGTTCCTGCTGAGAACATGCTTAGTTGCCTCTCCTGGTTGATTGAAGCTTCACTCATGCTTTGTGTTCCTTTAAGATCATATGGCCAAGGCTCTTGACCTCAAAAAGAGAGCGATCGTGAACAGGCTGCCACCATGACACTCACCAGCAGGGTTGTTGGAGCCTAATCTACCATAAGAATCCATATCCAAACCTATCTGAAGTCACCAGGTGGTGAAGCCAAATGGTTGTGTTTCCTGAGATAAAAGTGGTACCAATCAACTCCTCTCAAGATGTACAATCCAATGACATGTATCACATTGATTATAAACAGGCACTATACTGAAGTTGAGCCCAATTAGGTAATTGTTGAAACAAAAAATAGCTGATGGGACGTTTCAACTTAGTGCTGAGTCATGAGATCATACTCTTTTGCGGGAATGCACAGATAGCAGTGGCGTTAACTGTTCCAAGGAAAGTGGGTGTTATCGACCTCCGTCCAGCATGACAGCTCCCTTCTCCAGTATTCTCCATAGAGAATAAAGTAAATACTTCAAGACCTGAAATTTCCTAATATGATGTCAACCTACAATAAATTTGGTAGCTTTCGACTCCTCCCATGGTAAACTGTGGAATGATATATATTTTGAATCTGAAACCTACAGGCACCAAACTGAAGTTGAGCCTAGTGGAGGGACTGCTACCTTTTAGGTAAAGAGTTAGATGTGTCATTATTTTCAATACCAGCATTACTACTGGGCTATAATACAGAATAAAACAAGAATTTTGGAAGCTAAAGCATATGCAGAAAATGATCACGCATCTGAAAGAAATACCTGACAAAGCAGGGGTTGTGTCGGAAAGTAATTGCTCAGGTAGGCTTTAAACAGCACACACCCTGGAGAATGTGGCACCTGTTGTTGAAGTGAATGACTCCCTGTTATTGCCAGACAAGGTTTATCCCCACCATATCCATATCTTTGACTGCTGTGGACATGATAATGTAGGAATTCAGCATCATACTAGTGGAGATGCACTGAGGAGTATTTAGACACCTAATGCTCTAAATCATATTGAGCCAGAAGACTGTCCTGACATGATGTCCCTACCAAAAAATTATTGCAGTTGAATACAATAAGTTTGGAGCAATAATATTATAATATCAGTGCTATATCCTCACAGTTATTGGTATTATCCATCTTCCTCGCATTCCCATTACATTAACAAGCCAGAGAGCAATATTCAATTGAATAATGATTACATTCTGAGGGAACGATTCCCACTTCTGTTGAACTCTCTCCATGAGCTGAGCTCTGTTTCTTGGTCTTGGCTCCTTGAAAATGCTTTCCTGCAGCATAACCCAAAGATTCTCAATTTGATTGAGGTCTGGGAAATTGCCCAGCCAATTCGTCCACACTGAAAGGAATTCTCGTTTAATCACCTGTTGCGTCGATTTTGCTGTGTGCGCAGGTGCTCCGTCCTGCATCAGAATAACTTTCTCTGGGCTTGGGAAGATTGCACAATTCACTGCTGTAACTGCATATTCTGGTAAAATTTGTGAACGATAGTAATCACCGTTAACAGTTCTCTTTTCCTCCACGACATGAAGGGGTTTTGCTGTAAGTGCTAATTCCACCAACTACCATTATCTTAAGTCCAGTTTTGGGACGTTGGACAGGAGATCGTTTCTGGCTTGGCTGTTCGTTGATTCTGGCGGTTGGGCTTTGGGAACAGTTCCATGATTGATTCGTCGGTAAACATGATGTGAGCATGTTTTATCTTTTCCTGTGGACTGTCATCACAGAAAACTTCTGCCTTCATCCACTTGGTAAATGTCACATGACCCACTTCATTTTTTTTCTGACAACTGCTTTTTTCGCGGGTTGGACATATGCATGTTTTCCCCAAGACTGGCTACGAACAGTTTTGTACTGTGGACTGAGATACGGTTTTCTGTTGGTTCAGATAGCAGTTGGAGAAGTTTAAAGCCCTGGAAACTGTCCATGTTCCAACTCCCACTCTGTTCTTAATCATGTCGCAGATTTTCAGCTTTGCTCTTGGTGAAAGTTTGCTTGGACATCCAGTCCTCTTTGCATCCTTCACTGCTCCATCCTTATTTCTAATCCATTTTCTAGCAGTGTTTTTACTCACGTGAAGCATCACACGAATCCCTTGGATAGTTTTTCCGCCCTGACGAAGTCCTTGAATTTTCTATTGCAAATGCTCATGAATTTTTGGGGTCATGATGAATCACAAGGCTAAAAATATCACAAAGCATAAGAACATCAAAGAAAGGTAATCCTGTATTTATTGTAGAGCATATTATTACTTGGAGAAAAACTAATAACGCAAAAAATATTAAATGGCCGGAAAGTTTCAAACCCGTGTCATGAACTTTTGGTCAGTTTTATGTAGCAATAATTATTTTTAATGCTTTAAAACTTAACAAAAGTGAAAGAGTAATGCTTAATTAATAAATTAATATGACCTAATTTTAATTTCTGTCAGTTTTGAAAAAATCCTGGCCAGGTTCAATCTAAGCAGCTAAAATTCCATTTCCAGATTTTGGGCCTATGCGAAATGATGCAACATAGACATGTTTGAATTATCAAACAGACATGTGTAATGCCAGGTGATGCAGTAGGGTTGTGCAACATCATAAACAAGTAGATGAACGAACATCAAGTTCTGTGATGAACGAACTTCAGGCACGAGAAGCACAAATGTTTATAATTTTTTTAATGAAAGGGTCAGAAACTTTTTGGCCACCCTGTAGAGAAGTATCTGCTTGACCTGAAGGTTCTCATGGGTGGTGGCACTCTACAACCTTACATGATGCATAACACTAGCCACCTGCTGCAAAAATCTTCTTCAAACAGGATATTTCACAAATTTTCAATGAAATATCATGTTGGATCATAAATGCATTCAAAGGACTCTGGCTATCTTTGTCTTTGGTTCAGGCTTTCTTTTCATCCCTCAATAATGTACTTGATGCACTTCTATGTTTCTTCTCTTCAATTTATATAGTTGGATATCCTGGTGAACAACGCTGGCCGGTCTCAAAGGGCTGAATTCCAGAGAGTCCAAGTTGATGTGGATCGGGCTCTGTTTGAACTCAATGTCTTTGGTCCTGTGGCCTTAGCCCGAACGGTTCTTCCCCACTTTGTTGAGAGAGGATCTGGGCAAGTTGTGATCACATCCAGTGTAATGGGGAAGTTTGCTGCTCCATATTCATGCTCATATGCTGCCTCTAAGCATGCCCTTCATGTGAGAATATCATGCTAAATAATTTATTCCCCTTGACTTTACCTTTCATGCTCTCTAACATTTATGATATTGTGCTTATGAATCTTAGGGATATTTTGAGACATTGAGAGCAGAACAGGCACTGTCTGGAGTTCATGTGACTCTTCTTTGTCCTGGACCAGTCTTGACAAATGCAGCTCAAGAATCTTTCACAGACACTCCTGGCCAGGTACCTTCCCAAACTCTCACAGAGGCTCACTTCCTTCTTTCTTTCTTTCTCCAACATGAACATATAAAGGCTGCATGTTATAATTTGTATGTTTGTATTGTATTGAAACCAGGAATACCACAGAACAACAACCAATTCCATTGGATGTTAACTATCTTCATCTCTCTAATCCAGGTTTAACAGTCAATGTGGACTAATACATTGAAATTTTATGCACTCAAGACACGTATCCTCTCCATCCAGTAAATAAACCAATATTACATGTAATATTCAAGGAATGTCGTATGGGAGCTAGCCTGAATTGTGGTGCAACAGAAGTCTATGTTGATGGATTCCTAGCAGCAGAGGTTTTTGCCCTTCAGTCTAAATGATTTAACCAAAAAACTTGAATTGCATCTCTTGGGACTTGCTTCTTTATTTATTTATTGCAGGCCTGAAGAACTTAGTTGTTCAAATATATATTCCATGCTATTAATTTTCAACCAAATCCTGTACATAAAACTCATTTTGCATATAGCAATGGACACCAGGCAGGTGCCTCAGCATGAGGGAATCTAGGAGTGTAGGAATAATGGAAAAGTCCCTCTGGTAACAATGTAGCATAGGTATGTCTTTCTAGATGTGACACCCCTTGATGAAAGACTTTTTTATGATCTAAGGTAAAATATCCAATAGTAACCTCCATTACTTTCAGTTCATCCTCAATGTTAGAAAAAGTATGTGGTGTCAGAAAATGATTACAGACCTAGGTCTCCACAAAGCTCACTACTCTTGTTTTCCCATGCAAGGTGACCATGGGAGACATCCATGGTAGAGCATCAATCCTTAACAAATTGACTGCCAGGGATTTAAATGCCCTTGCCTCCTTGCCTTGAATGGCAGTGGAGGTTCACTGTGTCAAACACACCATATTGTGTGTACAGCTGTCAATTTGTTGATTCTGGCAGCATCTCATCTCTGAAACTTATTAGCGACATGACTTTGTATCAAAATCAGCTGCTTATGCAGCTAATTTCTACTGGGTAATTGTTTCAGTCCTATTATAAGCAATACCTACCCAGCTAAATAAAGCTCAGCCATATATAAGTGCCCACCTATGCTTCACCTGGGATAATGGAACTCACTCAGCAGGCAACAGATTTCCTGTATGTGAGGCCAGGTGAATGCATAGAGGAAAGAGTTTCACCTCAGTAGACAGCATCTGGAACTATAAGGAGAGGATAGATGTGATATGCCATAGCCACCATGCTGAACATCCAAATCCTTTCATTTTGACAATGATATTCAGTCTTTTTTAGTTCAAGATAGTACTAGAATTCAATTTCATAATGACTTGGGCATTCACATAATCATTGGACTTCTTGGCAAGTTGGGATTATGTTGCTCCACTTCATGAAATTGAAAATGCACCCCATTCCAGCTCAAAGCAAGAAAGCATATGCATGTATTTCCCCAAAGTATTCAACCAGTTATTCCTTGGAGTGACTGGCTGACCAGGGGCAGGTAAGGCTCTGAAGGAGACAGGTTGCATGCAGATTAACTGTGCATGGTAGGTGGTTGCTTCTGGGTATTGGGAATAGAGGCTCTAAAAGGTAACTATGTTACTGAATGCTATGTCAAAGGCAGGAATGTGAAGGAAGAACAAACAATCCAATGAGGTGTTAGCCATAATCTCTTTATTCAAGACAATGGCAAGTCATGCAACGAAAAATCCATTGCATCCACCTGTACGCACTTTGGACATAACTTACTATTTGCTTTTGAGTGTGAATACAGGTTATGTGGCAGTAATTTTCATTGCTTTATCATTAGCTAAGGGAAGGGTCGTGAGCCTCTGTTAATCCATCTCTTGTCTTGTTATGTGTGTGTCAGCATAAAAAGAAATCTTATTATCCTGTATATGTAGAAGGTGGGAAAACCTTGGGGACAAGGAGGTCGAATGACCAGTGAAAGATGTGCCGATCTCATTATGGTAGCCATAGTGAATCATATTGATGAAGCTTGGATCTCACAACAGCCTGTGCTTACCATTTGCTACCTAGCTCAGTACTTCCCTTCATTCATGCGCAAGTGAGTGATATTGCTCCTAGTTTCATGAAGGAAAATGCCTCTGCCCATAATATTTTATATTATCTCCATCCATCTGATGGCTGATTGTTGCAGGGCAATGAGCATCCTTGGCCCTCGGATGGCAAACAAACTACGCGATCAGGAAGCATCTCTACTTGATGAGAAGTATCAGTGAAACAAAATGATTTCAGTTTCTCCTTCTGTATCCTCATTTCCTTTTAATTTTCACAATGCCAGTTTGGCCTGGAGAAAACATTCTTAATTAAGGGCATTTCTCATTTTCTAATTGTACATGAACTTACAGAAGAGGTTTAATACCCATGGAACTTCCACATTGTGCCATTTTTGTGCTTCTTGGTTTGAAGTCCCTGCATTTTCTTGTTAACTACCATTCAGTCTTGTGGAAACTTACTGCTTTTATCAGAAATTGAATGTGTCGCTAGTCACAGGGCCAAAGCTTCAACATGTTGTGAATTGATCACACATGTGATGCACATTGTTTTGAATTATATGTTGTTGAGAGTGTCATCACAGTCTCTGATTTCCAGTTCTGATTGTGCATTTCTTCCCAAAGTAGCCAACTTTTCTAAGCTATCTAACAGTTTGGATGCTAAAGGCAAGTACATGAAATCTTATTTCAATTGGGTCTAGGCCTGCTTTTCCTGATCCAGAAACAAATCATGTTGCATAACCTCCATGGTTGAAGAAGGGAGTTTGATTAAACCTACCAATCCTCTCCATTCACTGTGATGTGCAAAGGATTATGAAAAAAGGACTAGTAGGGAAAGATATTTAGAAAACCTATTGTTATTCTGTTCCCTCGGCTGTGAGTGCATGATGGTCTATTTTCTTGACAACCTAGCATAAGTTTCACATGCAACCTGCAACATTTGTTAGTAGTGGTCTTGTAAGCCATCACTTATTATGGAAAATGAAACTGTATCTTAACTGTTGATGGTGGGCCCATGAGAAAAACGAAGACAAACTTACCCTAAAATTAAGTATATAATCTGTGAATCATCTGTGATTACATGAAAGAGATCATTGTAAATTATTTTTGAGTGAAGATTATGCCCAAAGGAACATACAATCAGGATCATTATGCATTAGTTGACCATGGTGAATATATTAAAGTTACTGATGTGCAAAATTAATTTCCATATTTCTCCTATCCATTAGATTCAACTAGTGAACATCTTACAAGATGGATTTTCATAAGTTGAATCTAATGGATTGGAGAAATATGGATGGATCTTCAATGTGAAGTAAATTAGAAGGATTAGTGAGTCCTTTTGCCTTGGTAATATTTCACTCCAGTTATTTTCCATTGGCAGTCAGTCATCCAATCCATTAGACATGAAATTGGCCTTTCCATGCATGAAAATTCATGGAAAATGGAACTAATGGGAAAAGGGGCTCTAGCACAATTGGTTTTGTTTTGTATCATTCTCGTGATACTTGTGGAAGAACAGATGATCAAATCATGCAAATGAGGAAAGATAATGCTGTTCTCATTGATGGATCTTTACACATCTAAAGTTATACCACAGAGTTCAGACTGACATTCACAGTAGATGCCAAAATATGCAGAATTACAGCAGCATAGGGAACAAACTCAGATAGCAAAACCATATTCAGTGAATACAAGAATATTAATAATCTCACAGAACTAACGCTACTTATTTTTCTTGATGAACTTGAGAAACTGCAGGGAATAAGAAGAGGCCAAGTCCATTGCCTTATCAATGAAGTTTGTAGTCTTGATATGTTTCCAATAACAGTGAGCAGTAACTCTTGGATCCTGTGATGTGATTGATGCCCATTTAATGTAACTGATATAAGCAAAGTAAGTTCATAAGAAGTGAGGGTTTCTTCTGTTTTAACTGAAGTGATTCAATATTGCTTCATTTGAATAAGTTTCCACATCCAAGTATCTTACCTAGCCAGAGGAAGGAGTAAAACCAAGATCATAAAAACAGCACAGTGCTGACAGTGGCTGATTTTGGTTCATGACCTTCATGCATAAGCTTATATGAGACTTGTATGAGGTGGCTTCTGTTAGATACTGTATGGTGAGTGCCCTAAGATATTGAATAACTGGAGGAAAGGGAATAATAAGTCTCTATAGGTTATATGTCCATTTTGTCAAACGTGTTGCAACTGCAAGCCCCACATTCCATCATGAGGTGCTTCCAGTGACTGATGAATTTTTGGTTTTTTCAAAGAAGTGGTTTTCTAGTATTCTAGCATTAGCTTGAGTGGTCGGCACAAAGCTACCTATCACCATTTTGGTACTCTGGGGCTTCTGAAGATGAAGTGCTGACATTACATGGATGAAAGCCATATACAAATTGTCTCATAAGTTTGGAAACATTGACACATAAGCACACACTGACAATTATTTAAATTTCAGATTCCTGGCAATGCCTCTTGTTTTTCCAAGTACATTGTGACACTGCCTCTAATTGCTCACCTTCAGTAGTGCCATTTTTTCAACTCATACCATTGGAAATATGAAGGTAATACACCGCCCATGGTTCTAGAGTTAAGAGTCACCCTGTACTGTTGCTTTATTGCTCTAGTATGAATGCAGACTTTCTGTAAGTTGAAGATTATGTGAGGCTTCAGGTCATATGTATGGTTTTAGGGTACATGGTACAGAGACACACCCTCATATTCCATGATTCTGGAATGCTAAAACACCAGAACAAGATGAAATATTCACAAAGAAGGTGTTAATATCTCTTCATCATTTATGTTCTGATAGGAGCTTTCAACCACCTACTGAGCACAGTTAGAACTACACAAGCCTGTGCAGGTTGAGGTTTAGAATGCTTTCATAAGATTTTTCACTTCAAGCATGCCCTGTGTTCTCTGCTCAAATTTGAATAGATTCCTACACTTGGATTATTTGGGATCCTTGTTCTAACTCATATCAATATACCCTTAGACCCACATCTATTACTCTTACTTCCCTTGAACATCATATGTAACTGTTGTAGTCAGATTTGCATGTATTATGTTTGGTTTTTTTTTCTGTGAATTCTTCCAGTTATCTCATTCCCTGCAAGGATCTCATTTATGCAGATTCCACTTTTTAAATGTGTTTTGATGGTATTTGCTGAGGTTGTATTCCCTTTTAGGTGATGTTTGATCTTAAGCAAGTGTCTCTTGCTATGTTTCATCTCCTTTGCCTCATGGATTCTGGATAAAATTTTGGTATAAAGGGATTCTGCTTTCCATTTTTTCTGCTTTGCTGGCAAGTGGAAAATTGTGTCACTGTACTGTGAAAGCCTATTAACTGACAGTTTTATAGATAATGCTCATATAGGCACAATTGTGCCTTCTATTAAGAACATAGTGCCAAATGGCCCTTGTCAATAAAACATATGTTTTCTCCATTTTTTGAGATCTTGAAGCTGGCAAGAATGTGCTGTGCTTCCAGAGATCAGAAAGCACTTTGGAGATGTTCTTAGTGACTAAATGTACAAACCAACCTGAAGCAAATTAGTAAACCTGTTTTGATGAACATTATGATGTAATTGGCTACCAGGTACAAGAGGCTCAATGCTCATGAATGTCCTTCCCCTGGCCTGTCCCCTTCCCCTTTGGTAAACACTTTGAAGTCCCAAGTAACCTAGAGAGACTCAGTTTGGCCTGTTCAGTTACTCTGGAGATATCTTACACTTGTTTTTTTCACAACTGAAGTTCTTTAACCCTTTCCCTGCATATTTAATGTTTTGTCATTGAGTAAAACTCCAAAACTTTTAAACTGATGTCAGTACATATTGAGTGTCTGAGCAGAAAAAATGTTATGTTCTACAGCTCAAAGGACCAAAGTTGAATGTCACAGTGAGCAAACGAAAAATCCTGGACACTACAGTTGAAAATTGCAAAAAGTATGAGGCATAGTTTGCCTATAGTCGAATGTCACAGCAAAAGGGATTGCATCCCACATCTAGAGATGGAAGTGCTTCATGATCAGGGATTTCCTTTCCCAAACATGTAGGATTTGTACTCAGATGTAAATGCCTGACTTGGTTGATTTAAAACCCAGGTCCCCAGCCATGGGGCCCAAGCTTGATACTTGCCAAGCCACTCACCTTCTCTGAAGGTGCTGTTGGGTACATCTCACCCTGTGGGAGTGTTTTGTTAAAGTTCAAGCAGAACATTGTTAGAGCTAATGTGATTGTGTTTCTACTGTTTCAGCATCAATTATCTTGTGCACAGCATCAAATTTAGATCCACAACTCATACTTGCTTGAAATATATGCCCCTCTAATAGCAACTTGGGATCTCAACAGCTTGGCCCATTCTTAAGTACATTTTTGGGTTTGGTACTATTACTGATACAGTCCTTGGTATTACAATTACCCCACAATTTGTAGTTATAGCAGTAACAGGAAGGAATAAGGTGATACCTGATTAGGAAGACTTTAGAGGTAATCATCAGGAATTTCTGAGTGATATTCTTTATCTTTGCAACAAAAGGCAGGCCTTTAACAGGTTAAGACATTCAATAGCAGATTCTGGTATCCTAGCCACACTCTACTTTTGATTGCCTCATGCAAAGATACCTCTTTCACAGTTAAAATTCAGAGCAACAGATCATCAAATCTTCTAGCCAAAATCTTTATGCACAAGAGAATAAGAACTGAGTGTGATCATGCCCCCAAAACAAAGGAATGAGATATTGGGAGGTTAGAATTGCCTGTTGAAGATTAATTGTGCATAAAGATTTTTGGCTTTCAGTTAAGACATATCCACAAGAGGATGTGTCTCAACTGAAAAGCCATAGAAAAAAAAGTTTCTATGACAACCTGCTGCATATTGCCAAGCAGCAGAAGGGATCAGTCATAAAAAATAAATTTATTGTTTTGGAACCAATCACCCAATGCTAGCAAGAATCAACTGATGCCTATAGAACTTCTTTTCCCTTGCATAGTGTGAGATATTCATGTGTATGCACACAGGTACAAATGATTTTGCTAATGTTTTTTTCTAACTGGTTTGGCACTTGAAAGCCTGGTTACAGGGTGGATAAAAAAAACTTTCAAGATGCTGGAACCTCATGCATATTAAAGAGTTCTGCAACTCTTCATTTGTATGCAACAGAACCAGGTAGAAATGTTAAAGAGACATGCC